TGTGATATTCATGTGAATTTTTGTTGGTCTCTGTCCCGTTACAGGTAGATCCGATGTGATGGCTGCGGTCTCACTACTATTAGAAAGGAAAGAAAAGATAATGGTCTGAAAAATTTGTGTTTCAGTTGGAGTTGCAGATATCGCTGCTTCCAAGTAATGTTTCTGGTATCTTCGAGAGCGAAGACTACGTCAGGATGGACGTGTTGGCAACTCCGCGCAGGAACTGATGAGTCGCTGTCAGTCAAGGGACTCTCTGGCAACCTTCGGACGGCCAGTCACTCCCGATGCCTGATATAGGTCGCCCCCTCATCGAATATCTTATTGATTTTGAAAATAGTTCACAAGTTTAATATACGTTCGAGTTTGAAGTTTGTTATTTTTATTTTATTTTGGAGAGGTGCATAACATGCCCAAGTTCAGGTGAAACAGCTTACCCCTTTCCTCTCCTGTGTATCTTTGGCTTTGTAGGAAGTGTTGCAGATACCCGACGGAAAACAATAACTAACCCAGCTAATGACGTGCAGAAAGTGAAGTAAAACCATCAGGCACCTGTGCAACGTCTTTAATTTGGGAGATGACAGTACTGACGAGGGGCAAGTACCACGGTATGTCGGTGGTCGTCCCTACTAAATGGGGAAATTTAGTAGGGACGAATCTTCCAAATGGAAGAAGTTGCACAGGTACCTGATGTTTTTACTTCAGCTTTCCGCCACACGTACTTACAAAGTTGTAGATCTACATAAGAGGAATGGAGTAAGGTGTTTTTTCACCTGAACCTGGGTTTGTTATGTACCTCTTTGGAATGTCATCATTATTCTGACTTCAACCCCGGCGTATATGTTTATGGAGTTGTTCCCGGACTTTGTCTGCAGGTGGCGTAGTGGGCATCCTATCGAATCGAGTGCAGAAAAAGCTTATGAATTTCATATATACAGGATGTTACTTGCGACGAATCTTCCAATGCACAGGTGCCTGATGGTTTTACTTCCGCTTTCATCCCGGCATTAGCCGGGTTGTGGTTGGCTTAGAATATACACTTTTCGTAAGTAATAATTGATCTGTTTGGAATATGTATTTTAGAAATTTTAATTTTTTAACTTCAGAGTACCTGGAGAAGAACTAATAAATTTTCGAAAGCTTGAACCGAAAAAAGATTTCTCATGTCTTCTTGTCTTTGACTGCAAAACCTGCTCCAAACATTGTTCCTGTTTTCTTAACTTAGCCAGTCGAGCAAACACATTCCAAGTATTCTCATTCTTAGATTTTGATAAATAAAAGTTAAGATTATTAATTCAGCTTTTTTCTTACCCCCGTTCTTATTCTAGTTTTTGTTCAGGTGGGGCCATCAAATTGATATGGCTATTAATGAAATTTGAGATTGTATCCATCATTCGCTCGTCATACTACTGTTTACAATTAACATATAACTAAAAACTTCTCTTCATATATTATGTCTCCAACTGAATAGCTCTTAGTGATTTCAAATGGAAAATAAATATCATAATCGCCTGAATCATTCTGACAAACCTTTATCACTTCTAGAACTCCAATAACATACCTTCGTCTTTAATGACCTCTTATGAAATTTCCCAAACCAAGAATGAAATACTGGCACACTGACGAGGTCTCCGAATATGATAAAATTACTAAGTTCAAGGCTTTGACAGTGGAATTCACAAGAGACATCCAATAATGCTCTTCTCATTCTGGGAAATAGGATCGAAAAGACAGATGACATGAAACCCAAGGCAATCTAATTTTCATCCCGAAACTATTTCAATATGCATAACTTTGTGACTGCTTTTAATGGGATTACACTTTTTGAAAGTAATTACTACAATATTTGCGATTCAAAGAATCTGTTTTGGTTGTCTTTTATATTTCGAAAAGGGTATTTTCAAGGGTATTTTCACTTGAAAGGTTTGAGATTTTTGCTCTCATCGTAAATGATTTATGAAATGGTAAATGCGGAGAAACACCTACTATATATACAAATAACATTTCAATAAGTGTATTTCATCAGTTCGGACTTCCATTGTCTAATATAATATAAATTGATTTGAAATCCCTGAAAAAAAAAATAAAAGATTAACCGAAAATAATCCTAAACCAATGTTCCTCTTTGTGGATGATTTCAGCTTGAGCCCACTTGATATTATGTTGATGAGTCCAAACATGCTCTGCTATTCCGGATTTGCTGGTTTCCCCTCGCTGTATGTGTTTCTTGTGCTCAGCAATGCGAACTTTCAATGGCCTCTTAGTTTCACCGATGTATGATTCTCCGCACTCGCAGTGTATCCGGTAAATGCAATTCTTGAAATCTTTCATTTTTTTCAGGGATTTTAAATCAATTTATATTATATTAGACAATGGAAGTCCGAACTGATGAAATACACCACGAAACATTGTCAACCACCTTCAAACAAATTTTAATAAGTCTTGAGTTGATTTGAAACAATTAAATCTGTAAAAAAAAGGAGTGCGCTTTAGACCACACAACTGAGGTAAAACATATAAATCAAACCTCGCCACGCACGCCATACAAAACAAACATAACTTTCTCCCACCAGAAAACATCAAACTCATAAAACAAGTCAATAAAGGAAACCGTATGAATATCTGGGAAAACCTAAACCATAAATTCAAAAGTCATAATTCACTTATTGAGGAACAAATACGAATAAAAACACAAGACCTAATTAATGAACCATCAACAAAAATAACAAATTCACTAAGGCGATCTAACCATGAAGATGATTGCAAGGTTTGCTATCGAAAGCTTCAAATCCTTTTTGTGAATAAGTGTTAAGTTAAAACATTGAAATAAAGGAAAACTAGTTGCATCAATCAAATATATGCAACCCCACAATATATGCAATATATGCAACCCCACAAAATACTGTGATTTAATTAATGAAAAAAATATTTCCATTGTATTTTCTTCAAGTCATAGAGGCTTAGCTCATTCCAACATTTGATTTCCCATATGAATAACACAGGAACATACAGATTTGACTCCGTCATATCTGTATTTTTTCAAGCATGGTATTGTGCGCCTTTGGCAATTCAAGCTCCGCGACAAGATTTAGAATTTATTAAAAATTTATTGGAATATAAAACCGTCATAAAGAAAATTTCAGAAGCAGCGTCAAAAAAATTTAGCTCTTATCTCTGGTATTTGATTGAAGAACTTATTTATTATTTTTCGATGATAATGTGAGCTCAGAAATTATAATTGAAATTACCGAATCGATCAATCAAAAAGCTATCCTAAATACAAATTTAAATTGTGTTAATATCAAAAAAGTCAAGATTGATACCTTTATGACCAACAAATTTTAAGATTTGAGTGATTTTAACTTTCTATTGAATTTCTAAAATTACATCCAGATCAATGAAAATCTGATAAAAATTATAATACATGCTTAACAATTATAAAAACAATTACGTGTCGTAATGATACTGCTGAATGAAAAGTTCAATTGATGGAATCATATGATCGGAGTTTAATAATGAGGAACAGAAACAATACTTATTGCAAATTGTAGTACCTAATGCATAGAAGCATTTTCCGAATATTAATAAGCCAATATTATTGTTTAACACCAACTGAGAAATGAGAAAAATAATTTCAGTAATAACGATTCATACTCGTACATTGAAAATTATATTAATTCACTTAATAGATATTATAATAGTCTATAAATAACAATTCTATAACTTCACAGCGTCTATTGTAAATGATATTCATTGTAAAATTAAAAATTTTAAGAAAATTTGGTTTCAATTAACATTCACATTTCCAGCTCTACAACTCAAAAACTTTTGAGTGAAGAGTATTTGCAACAAGGAATTTTTTTGTAGCTGACTATTTTTTTTAAAATTTTTCAGTACCGAAAAATCGAGTTGAAGCCAAAAAACATGTTTCCCGTGTTATTTATATGTGAAATCGATTTTTCGAATGAGCGAATCTAATTGACTTTGAAGTTTTTTTTTTTCAACGGAAATATATTTTTTCTATAAATGGTATGGTTTGAAAAATAAGATTCATATATTTTCGAATGAAAATTAGATATTTAGAAAAAAATGCACTTCGTTCACTTCGCCCAATCGACATTATAGTTTTCTCCTGATTCTTCAGTGCCTACACGACCGTAAATGTGTGCTCGCAACCCTCTCTTTCTCTCTCTTGCCCTTACAGTAAATATACGAAATCTTCACTAACTCTCATCTTCCGTTTACCTTGCCTGATCACACTTCGAACGCTCTCGTAACGCATTCACCAGCTTACTTCCCATTCAAGCGCTCGGCTTGCCCGATCACACTTTTCGTAACACTCTCGTCAGGCATTGGTGAATGCGCAATCACAAGTCAAGCGCGCGCCTGGCCCGATCGAACTTCTCGTAACGCTCTCGACACGCATTCACCAGCTTACTTCCCAAGTCAAATGTAAAATAGGGAATAAAAAGATTTTACTTTTTACGTTCGATTTTCAGCACGTTAGAAGTTAATTACCACAACGATTTAGTTTTTCTTAATGTTCGGCAATCTAACACATTCAGAAAATCTTATTTAATTTACTGTGCAATTCGAAAGGGATTATTTTGAACGGTAAGAGAGTTGGTTAAATTGCAGCAATCTATTTCAAACTAGACTGAATGCTATATTATTATATTTATAATTTACTAAACAAATATATTCCGGTTTGAACCATCCCTAAATTTTGAATTGAAAATATAAACCTTCAATTTTCATTAAACATTAACAGTGTCAGGCACGAATAGTTTCTGAGGGGTGCCAGGGTCAGGCGGGAGGAAGGGAAAAGGTGGAGCTTGCAAGTAGCTGAGACATGCGCATAAACACAATATCAGTACAGAAGCAACTCTACAGTGGTGGCACAGATTAAGTACGTGGTGGTACGGTGGTACGTAAAAATCATTGTAATCGTGTGTTTCTAGGTTTGCGTTTAGTATTCATCAAAAGACAAATACCTAGGAGGTTGTTGGACGATATGAATATGGAAAGCAAACATTGTTGGAGAGACGTTGGTCCTAAAAAAAGAATGAGTTTGAGTATAAGGCGAATTAGTGCAAAAACAAGAATCGCTAGGCTATCCAAATACAAGTAAGTGAAAATTTTTTATTTTCAAAGAAATACTGTGAACCGAAACTAGAATTTCATTGGAGAAATGAAAAGTTCATTTACGCCGTAAGTACATGAAGTAGTTTATAAAGTTCAACTTTATGCATTAGGGCGTGAATTACACTTTTTGTACTCACAACATCTCATTCATGTTTCCATAAATATTAAATATGTCTCTTATTCTTTATTATTTCAGGTCCCAAACAAACAATGTGACGAGTGAGTTACCTTTAATTTTGGAAAATAATAAGAATAACGATCCAAATATAGAAAATATATCTTCAGATCAATTGGAAAGCGATAACAGAGATATCATCATCAGATACAAAAACCCAAATGGATGGTAAAACCAATGAATGTAAAAAAAGAAATTACAAAGACACTGTTGAAAAAGAAATTATTTTGGTTGGGAAAAGAATTATAGATATCGACCATTTTTTCAATGCACTGAAAATAATTTCACTTCCAGAAAATCATGATCCCGGTACGGAATGCACTCTGCAAAATATTGTTGTTATTGATGAACGTTGCTCTGGATTCGCATTGACTGTAAAATTGAAATGTAACATGTGCAATAGATATTACAATATAGAAACTAACTATGATGCCGAAGGAGTGAATGAACAAGCGGTTTTGGGGATCATGTCAATAGGATTAGGATACAAACATGTTGAAAAGATCGCAGCAACATTAGAAATTCCTTATGGATCCCATTGAACATACGATAAATTTCACAATAGAGTTTGTGATAAGATAGAGGAGAAATCACAAGAAGTAATAGATGAAGCAATAGAAGAAGAAAAAAATTGCGATGGATTTTGGGCCAAAAGGTCGTATAAAAGGAACTATAAAGGACTAATAAAGTCATCAGCATGGGGGTTGAAAATGACTATTGCGTTGTGTGTAAAAAATATGAAAATAAAGGAAGTCAGCCAAAGCCCCATCGCTGTTTCAAAAATTGGATGTTGTCTTCAAGTGCCATGGAATCGCAGCAGCATTTCAACAAAGTTTGGAAAAGCACAGAATAATTTTTAAAACGATGATTGCGGATGGAGACAGCTCCTGTTATCAAAAGTTATTGGAACTCGGCCCTTATACAGTGAAAAAAATTGAATGTATCTCCTAAGAAATTATGTCAATAAGTTGGCAGATATTTGTAAGAACAAACATGCTGGCCCTGCAGTTTTGGGAAAACAAATTAAGGTCAATAAACGATTATTTTATCAGTACAAATGAAAAAATCTATAAGAAATACCCCAATAATTATCATCATTGATATATTCTCGGGTAATAAATTTTTTTTTCATAATTTCAGAAGAATCTTCTGCGGTTTAGATCTTCAGTAACAAAGGCTATCGAATATCGATCAGAAGAAAATGCTTTTTTATATGAAAAAATTGAAAATTCAAGGAAAGATATATTGAATGCACCCAGTCATATTTTAGGAGAACACAGAAATTGTTCATCATACATCTGCAATGAAAAGTCGAATGCAAACTTAATAATAACTGATATGAAGCTTACCGGTGAGTGAAATTCATTTATCAAGATAAGATTGAAATTTAATTAGAATATTCAACTTAAAACATTGATGGTATGTGAATTGTATACTAATTTATCATTTTCTTTCAGCTTTATACGAAATAATGATGGTCCCAGTCAAATATCATGCTATGCATTCCGAAAGTTTATTATATAATGTCGATACGAATACTGTTGAACAATTTAATTCCATCATTTGTAAACACATAGGTGGAAAACGGATCAATTATTGTTCAAGATGATTCTTTCAAGCAAGATGTGAAGCTTCTGCTGTGGAATGGAATATAAAACATTTTGTGTCCATTTTATCTCAATCGCTAACAGGTAGAATGCCTGCACTATTAAAATAAATTGAGGAGAGATACACACGTCGTCGCAAAATTTGAGTTAAAAAGAGGGCCAGGCAAAAAATGGTGAATGTTGCAAAAAACCAGATTCAGTACGGAACTGAAATCTCTTCGAAACAAGCCGAGATACGTGGATATTCATCAGTCTCCTATCAAGGTTATTTCACAAGTGATTGATCCACCTTCTTCTTTTTCAGTGCAGTCAATGGACAATGGACCCAAATATGAGATGCAGTCCTCGTAGTTCTGATTCCCTTTCAGTGGAAGAGCTTCATGAAGCAAGAGCCGAATCGATCCCTCTACGAAACCCTTCTTCACAGCTTGAGAAATGGTTCTTATGGAGATTCTGTGAAACTTGTTCTTCCTTACGAATCAGTAGAGTTATCCTGAAAATCTAAAGAAGAACATTGGATTGGATGATTTAGGAAACATTTGCTACATGAGTAGCATTTTACAAGTGTTGTTCATGACGAAGAATTTCAACAACGAGGTTTTAATGATGAACGAGAAGGGGAATATTTCCTACTTATTCATCAAACTCAAACACCTGTTCATGCAGCTGCAGTTTCGTAAGAATGTATCATCTTTCCCTCCAACCGATTTCCTGGAGTCTTTGAAGTCCACTAGGTACTCGTTAAGACAACAAGAGGATTGTTCCGAATTCTTGGGGTTCTTGTTGAATACTCTTCGTGAGCAAAACAATAGCAAAATCAATACTCCTGACCGCTCCGGATTGAATGATTCCGTACAGTCTATCTCGTCTTGTGTTTATAAATATTTTTCTGGAAAATTCATTACTTGTTTACTTTGTAGTAAATGTTCAAGAGGTATCAAAAACTTACGTGAATATCTGAAACTTCATCTAGCGTTTCCTAATATGACTAATATCCAGTCCGTGCAAAGCTTATTGTTAAATCATCTGAAAATGAAATTTTCAACAGGTGATGATGGACTGTATTGCCAAACATGCGCCAAACTAACTGACTGATATAAGGAAACAAGTATAGCTGAGGCACCAGTCAAAATAATAACACTGATAATATTCAAACAAGACTCAACCTCTGACGGAAGCAAAAAACTCTTTCGAAGGTTCGAAATAGATGACCATTTCAATCTAGCAGACCAGTGTTATAATATTCATGCAGTCATTGTTCACTGTGGTTCTGACGTTGAATTTGGTCATTATTGCGTCTTGGTCGTAGACGAAACGGGCTGGTTTAAGTTTGACGACAGTCGTTTCACGAAGTGTTCTGGCGATGCATTGAATCTATTGGAGCCTCTGGAGACACCCTACATTTTGTTTTATGAGAGAGAGAGAGGAGATTGACAGTTCAAGATCTTCAGATGATGTGGTGTCGTAGGTTTTTTCGGGTTTTCCTGCAGCTGAAAAAGCAAATGTGCCACTGGAATCAATGAAGTCGCCCGAGCGCCAATTAATTTTTATTGTTGTTTTCATGTTTATCTTCGAAGATAAAGTTCAATAATTGATTGTTTTACTGCAAATAAATTGTTTTGATAATATAACTTTTTTATTTCTATTTTTAAACTCCCCAAGTTGTGACAAAGAGAAATATTTTGCATTTTTGTTTCTTTGTGTATTTGCACGTAGTTCACTTTGGGTTTCAAGTAATACACACACTTTTATTAGGAAAAAAATGTACTGAGAAATAATGAATATGTTTTTCGCTTACCTCTATCGAAAGTATACATTTCCTGACCTCAATGTAGGAAGCAAAGTCGTACTTTTCCTCCCTAAAGTAAAAGTGACGTATGGTACGTCATTTTTGAAATAACTTATTGACATTGACAATCTAAACTACTTATATTCTATTATGTAAGTATAAATTTTACCGATCATTTATAGAACACCCAGTATTTTGCAAAATGATAGAAATCAGTGGAAGGTGAAGTATTTTTAAAAAGTAAATACCTATATTCAGAAAATGAGTCAGATGTCACTAGACCTATAGCAATACGATATGACAATAATTTCGCAATCTCTCGTTAGCGCAGCAGTTTGATGCAAGTCAAGTGAATACGAGACAGACCTAGATTCTAAACGAAAAATTGAGTATATAGTTTAAAATGAAAAACTCACAGAATAACCTAGATCAAACAATAAATGATTATTTTTCTTTTTTTTTTAGTGTGTTTGTATAAAAGCTTTTGTTTGAAAATGTTTTTTTATTATTTTTATTTTGAACTTTTTATTTCTCTTGTTATTGACAACTACAAATAACATTTTTTTCCCGTTTATTTCGCCTCCATCTTGAAAATGTTTTTTTATTATTTTTATTTTCAACTTTTTATTTCTCTTGTTATTGACAACTACAAATAACATTTTTTTCCCGTTTATTTCGCCTCCATCTTAATTTTTTTTCAAAAAAATCTAAATCGCCTACCTTGAAAACCACCAGATTCCAATTTTGAATAAATCGGGCAATAATCACAAAACTCGTCCACCATTCTGGAGCCACCACGTTGAATTTCCCAATTTTGACATGAGAATCATAATCTCCGACCCCAAAAACCCCTAGATACCAAATTTGATTTGAATCGGACTATAATCAAAAAACTCGTTTGCCATATGAAGTCTCCATTTTGTTTTTTATATTAACAAAAATTTCATAATACATTGTCACCGGGATTATGTACACCTGCAAAATTTCAAATCAATCGGATGATTAGAACTGGGTCAAATTCAATTTGCAATATTTCTTACATTGTTGGTAAGTTTGTTACCTGCAAATGAACCTAATCCTGAAAGCTTATAAATAAAAGCTTGTCTAAATATACGTTATGCGCTCTAACCCTTAATTATAATTTTGACCACTTCCTGTGAAATATCCAGTACTAAATATTTGTTCCCAAGAATTTCGGAATATCCCATTTACATTTTATTGAAGAAATAATAAAATATGTATTCGCACGCCGCTGTTCTAGGGGCGTGGCTACTACCGCAAACTTTCTCTGATTATTCTACCGCGCCTGAATTCAGACAACTAGCGATGATCTGATGTGAATAAGTTGCCTAACTAGTGGCGTTTGTATAAATTTAATTTTGCAAAATATGATCTTATCATTATTTGTTTTTTTGGAAACTGAGTGCCTTATTGTAAGCTACATAGGCATTGAAAGGTTCGAACGAAGACATATTTGAATTTTTAGTAAGCATTATCCTATGCAGAAGTTCAATTAAACTCCTTCAAACAAGACATTTCACACAATAATATTTGGAAAAATATTTTATTTTATCAAAAAATCTCTTCGTCCAAACTTTCCATGCCCTTTTCTGAATATAACGAAATGAGCAGAAATCCTGTCATTACACATTTTGATAAAGCGAACGTGTCTGTAGACATACCCGGCAAAACCGGGCCTCTCACTTCAGTTCTTCCCGATTTCACTGAGAATATCACTAATTTGATGAGCATCATATAAATAATGTTTGCTGTGATAGTCGCTCCAATGGAGGCAATATTTACTTGTCATTATGCTCCATAGCTTATTCTCGATAAATTATTTAATACTTGAAGCACCTAGCACTAAAACTTTCGTGATATCAAACTCCAGTGAAGTTTTCATTTCTAGAATTTGCCCCGCCTCCCATTGCAGCTCTCGCAGTAGTCTGTGTAAACTGTAAATTAAGTCCTTTTGCTAGAATTATTCATAGTACATAACGTACGTAACGAGAGTAGTGTTTCCGTTTGAGCGATTATCAGGGTAGCAATAAAATATTATTTACAGCTGCCGCTGAGAAGCCCCTCTCTCAAGATGTGCAGTAGATGTGTAGAAATCTGTTATCAGTCTGTTAGATTATTCGATCCGTAAACGTAAAGTTGCAAACAAAAGTTTCTATTCCTTTCTTCCTAATAGTTTCTTTGTTCCGACCCAAACTTTACGCAGATACGATTTCTCCCACCTGCCATGACTCAGTCCGGTAGCTGTACCTTGGTAAGTATTGGTTTGTTCATACCTGAACATACACACATAATACTTCAACTGTACACAGAAGCCTCTTAGTATGCAGGGTTTGGGTACGCCAAGTAATTCTTTCAATCACAATAACATACCTAAAATAAAATATGCGGGTGCAGGATCCCATGAAATTCACAGTTCTTTGAAAACCCAAAGCAATCTTCTATCATTCGATACTCTCAGATTTCAGTACCACACTCCTGGAAAAAATACTGCCAGATTTCTTCAACACTTGAAAAAATTAACCCCAAGAACGAGAACGAATATTAAACAAATGAAACGCGCTGCGCCCTCCATTTCCCTCCTGCCTAACCTTAAGATGGGAAGGGATCTTTAGCAGTACCTATCGTATCTACCACCTTTATGTGCTGCAGTGATTCCCAAGAAATGGCGCGGTGAGTAAAATTGCCTTTAGTTGAATACTTGAGAAATTCCTTTGGAGAAGACATTGCTGACGTGAATTTAGCGAAATAAACTACGGATCCGTTAAAACGGGTTTCCTTGTTCACTATCTGTTTGTTTGTCAATTGGATATATTGATTTTTCTGATTGATTCGGCCGTTACTTGATGAAGATCCATAGTAATTTCAGAAACTACACCTCACGATTTGATCTCCACAAACTTTATTTGAAAAAATATAATCACAACATGTTTCGCTAGCACTGTGCTAGTGATGCTAGTGATTATACTTTTTCAAATAAAGTTTGTGGAGATCGAATCGTGAGGTGTAGTTTCTGAAAAAAAGGGATATATTGATGTTGTCTTCGAAGGGACTTTTACATACGACGCTCGACATAGTCAAGGGAGTGTTTTGAGTCTGACTTACGTCACAACAACATCACAACGACGCAGACAAGGTATTTTTGAGGTAGTGTTTTGGGTGGAGATGATTTTGAGGGTAGATAAAGGTCGTTTCAAAGTTGAAAGTGAGAAGGGGTAGGTTCCGAAATCGGCTCAAACCAACCACTGATAGGACCAGTGAAATAGTACTTTTGGCGTATATGTCAGTGGTTCCTCATTTTCACAGATATTTTGCTGATATTCTACTACAAAGAAGAAAAATCAAATGAAATATAAAATGGAAAAATGTGCCAATGAAAATAGAA